ACATAACATAACATAACATAACATAACATAACGTAACATAACATTCTAACATTCTACTGCGGAGCCCCCCTACCTGCACGAGGAGGATGACCTTGTCCGTGTCACCTCTGCTGATGGGAGCTGTCTGTGTCACCACGCCCGTTCGCTCGTCAATACTGAAGTAATGCGCGTAGTCCGCCCGCGTACCTGCGAACAACACAATGCGGGTCAAGTACGGGTCAAGTACGGGTCAAGTGCGGGTCAGGTACGGGTCAGGTGCGGGTCAAGTACGGGTCAGGTGCGGGTCAAGTACGGGTCAGGTGCGGGTCAAGTGCGGGTCAGGTGCGGGTCAGGTACGGGTCAAGTACGGGTCAAGTACGGGTCAAGTGCGGGGCAAGCGCGGGTCAAGTACAGGTCAAGTTCGGGTCAAGTAGAGATCAAGTACGGGTAAATTATGGGTCAATTATGGACCTGGTACGGGTAATATATATATATATATATATATCGATTGATTTATTGATGACTGATTAGCTAATCAGCTATAATGAGTGGTGCAGTGCGGGCTCTCACCGGACACGAAGCTATATGTAACCGGATTGTTGATGTCATCCGCATCCACTGCTCTGATTGGCTCCGGCATCACTGTCAGCGCCCCCTGTGCAGATACCAAAAAACTGTTCAAGTCATTCACATGCTAGAAGCGTCCGTTACAGACAGGTGGTCGTTCTATAGAGGTGTTTCTGCTAGCAGGTGTGTCGCTGTCTATATCAGACTGCATGCAGCGCTCCCTTCGTACAACTCAGGGCGAGAGCGCCATCTGTCGTGGAGTTTGTGTCTACATCAGCACGGGCGTGTAGCTGGAGCTTGTGTGCAGCACTATTGAGGATTTATATTAATGTGTTGCGGTCCGCTATTTTATAATCAGCCTTTATAATGCGCACGTGAACAGATTTGCATGTAACTTGCGCAGTATAAATCAAAAAATATATACAATATAGCACTCACACAAGCACTTGGGACAGACTCAGTAAAAACTGAAAATAATATGAACGCACATGCACAAATACTACCCCTCAATTACACTCTCACTGTTGTGTCACTGTATATTAACTTGCTTTCACAAAAATGAATGCAGAACTAGCCGCTCCCGCCCTCGCCGCTGCGAGTGTGCTGTGTCGCCATTATAATGATGATATATATAATATAAGCTTCTATATTATATATCATCATTATAATGCCGACACAGCACACTCGCAGCGGCGAGTGCGGGAGCGGCAAGTTCTGCATTAGTTTTGGTGAAAGCAAGTTGATATACAGCGACACAACAGTGGAAGTGTAATTGAGGGGTAGTGAATGTGCGTTCATATTATTTTTCAGTTTTTACTGACTCTGTCCCAAGTGCCTGTGAGCACTCACCGCGGCAACATTGCTCTGTATGTCAGCGGCGTACTGCGGATTGATACACTGACGTGCGATGACCGGCTCACACCCTTCGTAGACGAAGGTCGGAGAGAGGTCGTTGCCGTCGGTGACGGTAAACCTGACGTAGGTGCGGCTGCGTAGCGGCGTCTCCGGCGGTCGCGCCTGATCCTGCAATGAGAGCCAACACATGAGAGAGATGCGGGAGTAGGAAAAGAACGAAAGAGAGAGAGAGAGAGAGAGAGAGAGAGAGAGAGAGAGAGAGAGAGAGAGAGAGAGAGCTGGGGAGAGGAAGAGAGAGGGAGAGTTGGGAAGAGAGAGAGAGAGAGAGAGTGAGAGAGAGAGAGAGAGATGAGCAGAGATCGAGAAAGAGGAGAGAATGAGACGAGAGAGAGAGAGAGAGAGAGAGAGAGAGCAGAGAAAGAGAGAGAGAGAGCGGGAGAGAGAGAGAGATTAAATGGAAGAGATCCGAGAGAGAAAGAGCGCACGCGGCGAGAGAGAGAGAAGAGAGAGAGAGAGAGAGAGAGAGAGAGGAGAGAGAAAGAGCAGAGAGAAGAAAGAGAGAGAGAGAGAAAGAAAGAAAGAAGTAAGAAGAGAAAGAAGGAAAGAGAGAAGAGAGAGAGAGAGAGAGAGCGAGAGAGAGAAGAGAGAGAGAGAGAGAGAGAGAGAGAGAAGAGAGAAGAGGGCGAGAGACGAGAGAGAGAGAAGCAGACGAGAAGAGAGAGAGAGAGAGAGAGAGAGGAGGACGAGAGATGAGACGAGAGAGCGAGCGAGAGAGAGATGAGGAGAGAGAGACGAGAGAGAGAGTAGAGGAGAGAGAGAGAGAGAGATGAGAGAGATATAATAGTGTGTGTGTGTGTGCGTGCTGTGTTGTTGTGTGTGTGTCGTGTCCGGTGTGTGTGTGCGAGGTACGCTGTGCTGTGCTGTATGGTGTGTGTGTGTGTGGTGTGTGTGTGTGTGCTGTGTGTGGTGTGCGTGCGCGCGCCCCGCCGTCGCTGTGTCGGTGTGTGGTGTGTGTGGTGTGTTGTGTGTGTGGTGTTTGTGTGTGCGTGTGTGTGTGTGTTGCGTGCCGCGGCGCCGCGTCTGTGTGGCTGTGTGGTGTGTGTTGTGTGTGTGTTGTGTGTGTGGTTGTGTGTGGTGTGTCGTGTGTGGTGTGTGTGTGGTGTGTGAGCTGTCTCCTAACGAACTGCCGCCGTGACGATGAGGTCGAGGGTGTAGTTGGTCCCGACCTGCAGACTCTTCGTAGTCTAGCGGCCCTGCGAGATGGATAACGCCCTTGTAGGGCAAGTTTGATGCGCAAAGTAACTACTATCATCAGGCTCAAGAACCAAACAGCCGCGTGTTAGAATCGGAATAACATATAAACATCCCACACACATCACACACACACACACACACACACACACCACACACACACACACACACACACACACACAACCACAGTCAACACACAGCAGCACACACACACACACACACAAGGCACACACACACACACACAACACACACCCACACACACACACACACACACCCATCACACACACACACACACGATCACACACACACACAATCACACACACACACACACACACACATCACACACTACCATCACCACATAGACAACACACAACGCCACGTCCACACAAATAACCCTTGCAGCACTCATGGCACACACACCACACACGACACACACACACACAGACACACACACACACGGCATCCGCCACGCACGAACGCACTCCTGTAACGGCACAGCAACAGCCACCGCACACACACAACGCACACACACACACACCGCAACGGCACAGTGCACCAAACACACACACATACATTTATATGTATACATAAATAAATAAATAAATATGTATATATTTAGAGAGGAGGGTGACCCAGACATGGTCACTGGAGGAGACTCTCACCACGCTGCCATCTCCTTGCTCCACCTCGAAATTGACGAGTCCGTTAGCGCTCTTGTCCGCATCGACAGCCGACAGCATGCGGAAGACAGTGGTGCCGACTGGCGTCAGCTGTGAGAAACAACGGTCAAGCCTTTTTAGCACCCATAGCAATAATATAGATAGATTATCTATATTATTATATTATATATATATATCAGGAGTTAATGAGACAAAAACTCGTCTCATTAACTCTTGATATATATATATATATATTATAATATATATATATATACTATATATATTATATTATTGATTATCTCTATTATTTCTATGCATGCACCGCACATGGAGTGATGAGACAGAGAGGACCACTAGTATCAGGGTTAGATAATAACAAATCTTGTCTCCCTTTGTCGTTATCTACCCCTGCTAATATCTCATAGTACCAATAGCTAATAAATACCTTATTATATTATTATACGGGTATTTATTAGCTATTGATATTACCAGTCTGGCGCGATGCCAGGGGGCAGTTAGTTGCAGTGCTTATCGTTCGGAGTAGTAATTATACAGTAATTTTAATTTAAAATGTAAAATTTAAAAATAAATGGAAAAAAAATATTAAAAAAAAAATTAATAAATAAATAAAAATAAAAAATAAAAATAAAAAATAAATTTAAAGATAAAAAAGGAAGAAAATTTTTATTATAATACTGAACGACAGTCTCAACAACGGATCTAGCTGTCGTTGACAAGCAGAGGGAGGTTTGGCAATAGAAGAGACGATCATAACAGGACCATTAAAATATAAACAAATTTGAATATCCTAAAGCGACTACATGAAAATCCTAAATGACAACATATGCTAACATATCCGATGAGGTTGCTGCAAGATTGTTGATTGCGGTCATAGCCTGCATGCTATCGTGCTCAGCCGGGTGTTAGGCCGGTGTAGATGCTTATACAGGGTGTAGGCGTTCAGGTGCCACAGAAGGAGCGTTCACATCGCGGCCCCGGTCAGCTAGGTTTCCCACCTGCGAATCCTTCTACCACACTACACTACACCTCATTATGTCTACCAACCGAATGCGACTGCGGGGAGGACCAGACTATGGGACATCTCCTAAAATGGCCCCTATTACCAGAGCCCTGTAGCCCTGGAGACCTTGAGGCTTTCAACCACCGTGCCAGGTCCTGTGTGCTGCAGTGGCTAGGCCGAGTGTAGTGTAGTGACCACGAGAAGAAGAAGAAGAAGAAGAAGAAGAAGAAGAAGAAGAAGAAGAAGAAGAAGAAGAA